CAAGGCCAACAAACAGACGCCTTCAGCGACTTGTTACCGTGCAGAACTCTGGAGTGCAATTTTGAGAGCACCGGGCTTTCACCCCTCATTTCAAGCCTGGTGGAAGCGACGTGAATCGCCATGTGATGGCGCACCCAAAGAGTTTCCCAATGTCCTTCCTGGCGAACATGAAGTGGTTTATGCTTTGTATCAAGATTTCTTGCATCATTTCCGTGCTTTTGAAACCTGGCATCTCAATCAACGCCAGGCAAGTTTGAAGATGAAGTATGAGGGCTCACTGTCTTCAATCTACATGGATTTGCGAGATGAACCAAAACCTAGCATTGACCACATTTGGAAGGACAAAAAATACCAAGTGCTTGCAATTGACCATGAACACAGCCAAGTTATGCTGGATCAAGAGATTGGGCAACAATTTGACTCCATGTGGTACCATGAGGGCACCCACATTCAAGTTTCTTGTATCGATGGTGCGGTTTGTACAGTGAGCTCCATTGAGAATTTTGTGGTTGAGGATGAATTTGTTCAACGCATTTTTGTCTCGGAAGTCAAAGATGTCCTTGATGCTTTTTCAATGCAATGGTCCCAAAGATGGAATGCATTTGCTGCGCTCTCTGACTCGGACTGGAAACGGATCACTCAGTTCACTCAGGCATACATGCCCACTTTGTCATTTTCATTGCCACAGTTGGAACCAGATATGTGGTACAAAGCAGTCAACAAGTTCAAGCCTGCGGCTGCTCGAGGACCAGATGGCTTCAGCAAAGCCGATCTCCAAAACATGCCATATGACCATGTGAACAAGCTCCTCCACATGTTTGACCAGATTGAAAAAGGTGAGGCCAGCTGGCCCAAACAACTTCTATGTGGACTTGTCATAGGCATTGCAAAAACAAGGGATGCGCATGAAGAAGGCCAGTTCAGGCCTATCACTCTTTTCTCTATGTTGTATCGATGCTGGGCCAAGCTGCGCACAAAGCACATGATCAACCAGCTCTCCCAGTACATACCAGCAGAAGCACTTGGATTTCTCCCACACCGAGAAGCTGCAGAGGTGTGGTTGATGTTGCAAGGGCAGATAGAAGTGATGCTTGCGTATGATGAACCCTACTGTGGGTTGAGCTCCGATGTGCGACGGGCCTTCAACCACATTGGCCGTCCCCAAGTCTTTCAACTTGGTCACCATTTAGGATACCCACCACCACTCCTTCAAGCATGGCAAGGGTTTCTTACTGACTTTGAGAGGCGTTTTGATGTCAGAGGTTGCATTGGAGACTCCATCAAGTCCAACAGCGGATTCCCTGAAGGAGACCCTCTTTCAATTGTTGCAATGCTGACTGTCAATTGGGGCTACCACCTTTACATGCGACAGTTCGCTCCAAAGGTTCAGGCATACAGTTTTGTAGACAACATGACTCTAGCTGCGCGTGAGGCCCAACATGTCTTTCAAGGACACTTCGCCATGACCAACTATCATGCGTTGTTTGGGCTCACCATGGATGATGACAAGACTTATGTGTGGGGCCTCACAACTTCGCAGCGACAATCACTGCAGCGCATGGGCTTTCCATGTCTATATGATGCAAGCGAGCTGGGGGCCTCCATGAGCTATGGGGCCAAAATCCGAAACCGTCATTTGAAGGCAAGGGGCACGGGAATGGAGGACAAATGGAAACGTCTTCAAAGATCTCCTGCGCCCTTTCCACAGAAGATGACTATGTTAGCCAAGGTGTTCTGGCCGAAAGCACTACATGGATCACCAGCATGCATGTTTGCTGACAACTACCTGACTTCCTTGCGTAGAGCTGCAGTGCGAGCCTTGAAGATCATTGGAGCGGGGGCTAATCCGCAGCTCCGGCTGACACTTTCTGATGACATGAAGAATGACCCTGGTTTTTACCAATTGCAGCATTGCGTTTCCACATTCAGACGCCTAGCACGGAAATCCACTGATTTTCTGCCACTATGGCAATTGTGGCATACGCAGTTCAATGGCAAGTTACTACCAGGGCCTTTCACCAAACTTATTTCATGTCTCAACCAAGTCGGATGGCATATCATGACTCCACCTTTTGTGATTGACCATGACCACTACCAATGGCATCTACTCCATGTGGATGACAAGACTTTGCAGGATCGATTGCAAGATGCGTGGTGTCAATACGTGGCGGCCACCACCAAACACAAAACCATGCATGATCTTCATGGAATGGAGCTGAGCTTGACAATGTGGCAGACGAAAAAGCTGCTACCACTGGAGCGGGCGCTACTCTCGGCTTTGCAATGTGGTGCCTTTATCAGTGACTCCGAACAGTCAAAGTTTGACAAGGAGAAATCGAAACTCTGCTCTCTTTGTGAATGTGCTGATGATCGGGCTCATTGGTTGGTTTGCCCACGCTTCCGTGCTTTGCGCATGACCATAGATGACTGGCAGCCAGACAATGTTGAGCTACCACTTTGTGTTATCCATCACTTGCTGGTTCCGAGATTGCAGCCACTGACCGAGTGGAGAGGCAAGATGGTTGAAATTCCTGATGAAACTCAGACTTTTTGTTTTACTCCACCAAAATCTGGTTTAAGCCATTTGTTCACGGATGGGGCTTGTACTCAACATACATATAAATGTTTGAGTTATGCAGCATGGGGTGTTCTCAGCGCCACTGATGGTGATCTGGTGGCCATTGGACACCTTTCTGGCATCACACAGTCCATCGATCGGGCTGAATTGACTGCGATTCTGGCTGCATTGCGATGGTCTACTTCTGCAGACATTTGCATCTGGAGCGATTCACTTTCATGTGTGAATTTGGCTGACTACGTGCAACAGCATGAGCACGTTCCTATCAATGTGGAGAACTACGACCTATGGTTGGCAGTTCAGGATGCCTTGCGCTTGCGTGCCGGGTGCACCACCATGTTTAGATGGGTACCATCACATGTTCACGCTGATCAAGCTGTGGATGCATTTGAATCTTGGGCATTTCACTGGAACAACGCCATTGACTCCATTGTCACTGCCTGGAATCAGGAAAGATCTGCAGATTTTCATCAGAGATTTGAGGCACTCGAATCACAGATGAGATGGTGGACAACTCGCATTGACCAACTGCGGCAATTCTTTTTCAAAGTGGCCGAGAAACACAAGCAGCAAGTGGCTAGCTCTACTGAATCACCCATTTTGATTGAGTCAGATGCGGAGACCTCAGATGAGCCAGAACTTTTAGCTGATCAACTTCCATTGAACTGGGCTGTGAGAAGCAGACAATCAGAGGGCAAAGTCCCAGGACAATTCGTGACTTCAATTTTGCAATGGCTATGTGCCGCAGAACAGCTGGATCATCGACAAGTCATTGTTAGTGATTTGGAGTTTGTTTTCCTTTTGTTGTTGGATGATTCTTTTGAGTTTCCTTTTCGGATCGATGATCGATGGTTCCACTCGATGGTCCATGCGTTGTGTAGATGATCTTTTTCAGAAACCTACTATGGTTATGCTGCTTAGACCAGTTCAGATGGCCATGCAGCAAATTGTGCAGCTTTTCCCAGAAATTCCGATTCGGACCCCACCGAGGTCAAATCCAGATCTTGGAGTGTACATTTCTTTATGGGGTCTCAAAGCCTGCTTGCCACCCGAGATGGTGCAACAGGCAAGGGCGCTTTTAGCACATTTCACCCAGAGTCGACCAGTCAGGAGGACTGGCGACTTGTCTAGGCCGAAGACCTAGCTGCGAACGTTGCCGCTGCTGCACTGCAAGCGCCGTGCACAGTCGGCATGCAATGTCCGAGCTATGTATGTATGTATGTATGTATGTATGCATGCATGCATGCATGCATGCATGTATAAATTATGTATACATATATGAAAAGCGGACAAAATTGCGCAAATTGACGGGTCATCCCCTATCGGAAGTGAGGCTGCGTTCTCAGACTTGAGGCGACTTACGCAAAACAGGGGTCTCGGTATAGGGTCGTCCCCCATCGGTAATGAAGCTTCTGCACATCCCTCAGCAGGCCAAGGCAAACTAAATTTTAGTAGTACAATAATTTCGTAGGTTACTCATATAGTAAATAGTTAACTGCAACACATCTGATATAATGTCAACCCTGTATTAATAACCCCTGGGATCCCCTGGGCTGTTTTATTGGGAGGGTAACATTTAAGTATCAGACTATGACTATTGGAGGAGTACCACCCTGAATAATAAACCATGGTTTATTAATCTGTCGTGGTTGACATTAGTTGTATAATCACTATCTGTTGTGGTTGAAGAACAAATGCCCGGCTCATGGATGATGACAATCCCTGAGCCAAAGATCATCTGGAAGAAATCATGGAACAAATCGCTCGTAAAGTCTCCGTAAAGTGAACAGCAAAAGCACCATGATATGGAAATCAGCAATAAAAAGAAACAACATGCAGGATCAACCAAACTAAGGGATATGACACATGAATACATTGAATACATGATCTGTGCTCGATAGGGTTTTAAATTTAAAGTCAACCACCACCACCACAACAACAACAACAACAACAAACACAAACAATGCACATAGAAATGCATGGAATCAGTGGATGCTTTCCTATCTTTCCTAGTCGAGTCCAGCCTTAGAGCCACCTTTTGTTGGCCCTCCCATTCTCTTGGGCAATGTGAAGGGAAAGCTAGGTGTCCAAAGGAATCAACATGTACACGTTTATATATGTATTATGTATACATGATTCACAAATACGTTCTATAATATGTCACATCTGCATACGTCAAACAAATATAAACGCATGCAAAACAGAAACATATGTGCCATGGTCAACGCATGGTATATGTGGTATGGTGATCAAAAAAAAAAACACAAAAACCTATCGGCAACTGACCAATTTTCTGCCCATGGCGTCATGGCGCATATATAAAGATGCATTTAGATCATTAATGATCATTATAGATTATAGATTATATGTTATAGATGTTTAATGATATTTAATGATCCAGAGAAGTCCCTGACCAGGGCACTGACTTCGGACGTTCAATTGGAAGACCAATGGCTCTAGACCAAATGTACTGAGCCATGACCTCGCGGGACAATCCATGGCATTCATAGTGGAAAGAAATAGTGGATTTATGTGGATTTGTTCCAGCTGTAAACCTCCATATTTACAGTGAGTTTAAAAGAAATGCAATTTTTGATACTTCTTGATGACTGGAGGGTAAGCATCTCAAGCTAAATATCATTGCTCAGATTGTACAGCACTGAATCATGAATTCCCCAAACATTTTTTCAGTTTATTCAGTTTACAGTATGTCTTCGGCAAAAATGTTTTGCGCTCTGGTCACGGTGGGCAACGGCCAGGAGTGGTATTGAATTGCACTGCCACTGCCGTATTTTTTTGATTTTTTTTGGGCCTGTTTCTTCTTTAGCTATAAGTGTACTATATTATAATATAAGTATATAATACTATAAGTATAATATTATAATTATACTTATGTTATAATACTTTATTATTATTATATATATACTCAGGGCTCGCATTCCACTGAGTTACCATGAGTTGGTTGACCCTTTCAGGTTGATGGACCCTATGCCCTATGACCCTATTTCCATCTATTTCCTATGTTCGAAGTGCAAAGAGTTGTTGTCGGTCTGTGCTCTCAGAGCTTGCAACGGGTCCTCAACTCTTTCATGTCTCGTCAAGAGGCTCCCAGGGTACGAGAAACTGCGAACATCACGGTGTAGAAGTTTTGCTCCTTCAGGTTGTAGAAGTACCTCATCCCAAGCATTCGCCATCTGATGTTCAGCATCCTGGCTGGAATATATTATCTAACACTGCAGTGCATGTTCGCACCTACTATCTGAATTTCAACTACATTGAAGTGTCATCTGAACAACAAACAGGTAGCTGATGCTTGTCAAGCCAAACAGCTTCGGTCAAAGAGTTCTGCTCCCCAATCCCAGCAGGATCTGGCTTGCCCTTGTGGAGGTTTCGGCCGAGATGCATCAGTTGACCACTGTGGGCATCGACATTGGGATATGGGTTCTTCACCTTGCCTTGCTTCAAAAGTACCGGAGGGATAGCATGATAGCCTCGGTCTAGGGCATTCCAGGGACTTCGCTAAGAAATCCGCTGGCAAAAGCTACTGGAACAAAACGGATCCTCACACCTTCATGAACATCACAATCACAAAAACTATCCGAGTAGATAAATGAATTGCTGAAATCATCATGTTGAAATACACCCCCAATATCCCCATAGAACTGCCTAACGACTTTTCTCCTGCCCGGCCCTTGGCTCCGCCATGCTCCGCCCCAGCCATCCCAGCCACATGCATCCACCAACTGGAACAGGGGATCATGCGTGCAGTGAGTCAGGGCAAACTCGCGTTCGAGCATATAGCGTGGATCAGTGTTTCTCAGAACTGCATGGCCAAATCCTCGGATGAAGTGAGCGGCTGTGCTGTAACGAAGGGGGCCTCGTTCTGTGTGGGAAAGGGAAACCCAAGAGCCAAGAAGCCTTTGAAAATCTGAGTTGGTGTGTCCAAAAGAATAGTCACGGGAGATCCGTGCTGGTTTCTCAGTAAATTCGGGTCATTTCATCCTGTCCTCCCTGCCCAACCTACAAAACGTGAACAAAAGACACAACTGAACTGCTCAAAATACTGCAAAAGTATGCAAAAGTGCCATTTTGTTGGGATAGATCGGTTCGATCCATCTATATATAAACTGTCTCAACAGTGACAAACCACGAGACTTCCGAAACCCAAAGCATCAATTCCTGCTGTGTTTAATTTTTTGGGGATCCTCCCCGTGCCCCGTTCCATGCTGCGGCACTGCGGCCAAGTCTTTTCTGCCAGGGTTCCGGGGATCACCTTGCCCTCCTTCAAGGTCTTTTCGGCGAACTCCGTTAGCAGCTCCTGTGGAAAGGAAGAAACATGAAGAAACAAAGGAGGTACATGGGGGATGTTCAAGAAGTTTCAAGAAGATTCAAGACGACTTGGGCGCGGCAAGCATATCGCCATAATACTAACTTGCAAGACCAGCAGCATTGTGGTTTGAAAAAATGATAGACTGAACGGATTCTCCAAAGGTTTCAGGGAAGTTGGAAAAGATTCCCATCCCGCAGTCCCGGAGTCCCGCAGTCCTTGGTGGGCCTCTGATCACCCAACTGTTTTTGAACATCCAGGAGCCAGGACAAACATTCCTGGCGGCTGCCAACTTCATCTTGGAATTGTCTATCATTGCCATTTTGGGATGGTATTGAAAGATATCCCTCCAAAAAACCATACCTGCACACACACACACATCTATCTATCTATCTATCTATCTATCTATCTGGCTGTCTGTCTGTCTGTCTGTCTGTCTGTCTTTCTTTGTCTGTCCATCTGTCTGTCTGTCCATCCATCCATCCATCCATCTATCTCCATCTATCTCCCTCTCCTCCAAAGAGCCATATGGCATCGACCATTTTTCTTCATGTTTGGGTGGTTTTCAAAGCCATCCAGCAAGAATTGGCTAATCGTGGCAAGTTATTGGCCCTCAAACCATTTTTTTACTTTAATAAAAACAACTTGAAGAAAAACTATATAATTATATATGCTTTGAACACGGGTTCAAATATAGAGTAGTAAAACAGTAAAACATGTAACGAACGAAATACTCATAAGCTGAGCATTATGTACTCTAATAACATGGTATAAACATGATCGCTGCAAACACTACGTTTGACCGCGGCGGAAGTCAACTGAACCCTACGTTTGAACCGTGCCCGAAGTCAGCTGAAGTTCAAAGGGGGTGGCGGATTTGATCCCTCATGAAGAGAAGTGCAAGCTAATGAACCAGTCAACATATCTGTTCAGAGGGGTGGGGGATTTGATCTGGAAGTTCATAAACCATTCAACATATGTGTTCAGAGGGATGGGGGATTTGATCCCTTTTGAAGATAAGTGGAAGTTAATAAACCATTCATTCAACATATTTGTTCAGGGGGGTGGGGGATTTGATCCCTTTTGAAGAGAAGTGGAAGTTGATAAACCATTCAACATATTGGTTCAGAGATGTTCAGAGGGGTGGCGGATTTGATCCCTTATGAAGAGAAGATTCCCTCAGTAGAAAGCGTCCCTGTTAACCTTATGGATGTCTCAGCCGGATATCAGGATTGTTTGACAGCAGCAGGCTACAGTCCTCACTTGTGTCGCCAGAGAGTTGCGTGTTTGGAGGGTGTAGACCATGTTTGATTTAGATAGTAGAGGAGAGATCTTGTGGGTTATGGTCGAACGTGGGGTTTGGCGCCAACATGTTTAAATACATTTAAACAAACAAACACACGCACACACACACACATATCTGGGTAAATTATAATATTTCACTAACCTGAATTAAGGCCATTTGGGGATGATTTCCAATACTAACCATGATTCCCAGTGAGGTCGCAGTGAGGTCGTTATAATTTACCCAGATATGTATATATATAATTATATTATAACAGGCCAGACATTCAAATTCGCACGACACGAGCATCTCCTGGTTGGCAAGGCCATGCAAAGGACCTGCAAGACCACAAAGCCCCGCAGCCCATGCCTGGCGCAGGGCGACTGCGACGCTTTGGCGGGCAATTTTCATGATTTCCATGGGAAAAAACTTTGTTTCCATGAGAACAACATGGTTAAACAATATACTAATTTTGTGAACTCTGCTTGGGATTCTTGTGTGTGTGTGAAACTCTATCAGCATTTTTTTAACAAAATCATCTGTCATAGCATGGGAAAAAACGGCCTGGACACTTTAGAAATCTCCAACCCGAAAGTCTTGAAATGTATCTTACCTACTTGTGCAGTTTACTAGGACGATGCGACTTCAGAGGCAAGGCTTGATCATGCTCCCATCAACCGACCAGGGGCTGCGTGGGAATCCAGTAAACAGTTCAAACATCTGGAGTCATGAGCGCCGTTCAACCTATTTTATTATTCGTTATATAAGTATTTATGAGACACGTATCATGTATCCCATGAAAAAAAAATAGTTTCTTCATGAAAATTGGCATTGTGCAGCACCATGCAGTGCAGTGGAAACCTATCGCACTTAGCCCTGCAGAGCTTCAAGGTTTCGAGTGGTAACATGCTCCACACCCTCCAATTGCTGCGTTCAACCCTTAAAAAAATGATTTGGAATCTGGAGATGAATTTCCTAAGATATGACCATAGAAAATGAGTTTCATCTTAAATGTTTCAGATATCATAAAAGAGGTGAAACTAACTCAAACAACTCACTCACACCCAATTGGGGTCGAGTTGGGAACCGCTGCTGAGATGCATAGTATGGATCACTCAAGGCAGAACCCACAAGGTGAGTCGCATGCGCTGAAACATTTCCACCTGAATCCGGTGGCAGAAAACGTGGGCCATGTTCAAGGCTCGGATAAAACACACCCAGCAACGTGATATGGTAGATATAATGTTATATATATATAGTATTATTATATTATATATACCTATAATTATCTATCTATATATATATATATATATCTATTATGTTTCCGCTGTTTCCTCGGTGGCACTGTGGCAAGTTCCACTCTTAAAAGAAATAACACCATTTTTTTTCGCAACCCATCAATCCATATTAGTCCCATATCAATGTATGGCCCAAAATTAACCATATCTTGGAGGATTTTTGGGGCTAGATGTTGGAACATGGGGATGCCCGCACCCTCGTGATCTGCGTGGAGCATCAAATACAAGCCTCAGCTGCAGGCAGTACCAATGGGGCCACTATTCCAGCTGGGGGGAAATGTGACACCGACCCTTTGAACGTTATATCGAACAAGAAATTGCTTGGTGGTCTTACCCGTTTGGTAGATATGAAAGTCAATTTCAGATCATAATATCACATGGCATGGAAGCAAAACACATTTCAAACCGCCAATGGTGGTAATGTTCCCAGAATGAGCTGGTTGCACCAAACCTTCCGTGAAATAAACAGGTTTCAGCCATGCTGGGCACACCATCTCCAACTAAGATATACTAAGATTAGACCCTGAGAGCCACCCATTTTTTCAGGAAGCTAGTCTTCCAACTCCCGATTTGGCCGGGTCTATGTTGGAAAGATGTAAGGGTAGGATTGCACCCAGCAATTTCAAACTGAGAGGACGATGGATCTGACCAGGACCCGCTTCTGAAATCGAGAAGCGAACTGCCTCCTTGAAACCTTCGTCCTGGTTGACACCTAGCATCTGCGCGAAATTGGCCGCCCAATCCAAGCTTTTGTCATACCTGGGTCAAGGTTCTTCAAAAACAAGGGCACCCCAAAATCCGCTGATTTGCACTCCGTCTTCTAAAACGAATGCATTTCTGTGTGTAATAATGAATTATTGCCCATCTCTGGACAACCCACACACATGTCCTCCATGATGTGCTCCGCCACGACCGAGGCATCCAAAATTTTATTGCCATCGTGACGTGTTTATGAATCAAAATCCGCCCCAATGATTGGATGGTCAACACTCAACACTGCCAAAACACTGTCCCTCTTGATTTTTTACATTTTTTTAAAATGCGTACCATCCTACTCAGATATTGCCACCATGATGGTTGGGGTGGGGATTGCAAATCGAGGATTGCAAGTAGGACGAACACATCCGCTCAACTTCACACCTCTGATTTGTCAGCCTCTGATAATTTCTGAATGAGCTGTAACTTGCACCCTGCTATTCTCCGAATTCTCAGTATATACATGATAATGGAAGGAACTGCTACAAGATGCACAGGTTTTCAATATATTGCCAGTTGTAACTGCTCTCCACTTCACTCGACCTCCTTAAGATCAATCTTTAAAACAAATCTACCCTCAAGTAACCAAAGTTGGCAATGAAAAACACCGTTAATTTATATATATATATATAAATAATTATATATTATATATATATGTACAGGGTTTAGAACCAATTGTCCCATTAAAACCTCCATTCTAAACCCCAAAAAGCATCAAAAACCTGAAAAGTCGTCGAGTCAGGTCGAGTCACTCTGGCACCACACCATCTTGGAAGGTTCGGCGATAGATCTTGGCCGCAATCGTTGGGATCTTGGCGATGATGTCCAGTGCATCGTCCAAGGCGTAGACCCAATACCTGGGATCGGAGATGACCGGGGGCTTGGTGCCGAGCAACAATAACATTTATATATCATATATATATATATGTATGATAAATAATGATAACATGCATTACATATGTGAGAATATACATCATATATGTGAGGATACCCATAGTAAGTGGGCGAACATTGCACACTCGGGTGAATAGTCTTAGCACAATCTAGCACCTTTGGAGCTGGGGTATTTTCACATTGAACTACAACCAAACTGCCAAAAACATTTTGAACATTATAGACCATTCCCAATGGCATGGTTTCCATTGTGCTGTACGTAATCCGTACAAATTACAACAGGTCGCCAACCTATTTCTCTCTTCTGATGATTCCCCTTCCTAACCACCAGAAGAACTATGCTTGTTAAGAACTGGATTCCGAGTTCGTGGATGATGATCATCTTGAGGGTAGGCCAATAGCCACCGGAGAAAAAGGAAACAACTGCAGGGGTGTAAATGTAATCATCAACCACTGCTTTGAATTGGATTTGAAGGGGCTAAATATAGACTTATCTTCAGCAAATCCAGGATAATGTACGGCAGAGTTGCTCGTCCTTCTTCATTCCTTCCTGGTACTTGCCGCAGAACTTGGAGTCCTGGCGATTTGAGCGGTTTCACGTTACTTCTACACAAGTCCTTGTCATGTAACTGTCATATATGGTAGATAGTACACGTATATAAATGTTATTTCTATAAATATATGAAATAAATGCATGAAATATATATAAATACATATTTATACATGTATATATATATATATATTATGTATACACTTACAGCATTTACGCTGCACATAAATCTACATATAGAATCATATAAAGAGATACATATACATCCGGATAATCAAACATGGTTTGCCAGGCGAAATAGATATCCGATATCCCTTATTGATAGTCATCCCAGGTGGCCATGGATGCATAAATCTCTTTGATAATCAAACATGACTATATGTTTCTCCCATTTGAAAATGATTTTCAGAATAAAATTTCCATTTATAGTGGATTTTTCGTTGCCATGTTTGACTACCGGAGGGTACTTAAGCATGAAAATCACAATTCTCACAATACTTAAAGAAACACCGTGCAGAAGAGGAAATAATTATTGGTTTGCTCAGCTCAACCATCAGGTTCGCTCTCAACAAGTGGTTATCTAACATCCAAGTATAACTCAACATCAACTCCAATACAAACAAAATCAACATCCAACAGTGTCTGACAAGGTCTAAATTATATCCATATATGCATGCATACACACACGGGCATTTATAAAGCACATGTATGTATACATATATATAAATAAACAATAAATAAATAAACAAATAAACAAAATTAAAAACATATAATGCACACCTAAATACCTATAAATGCATATATGTATATGTGTATGCTGTATAATTCAATAAATGGCATGCAAAGATGCATATTGTATACACCGAAAAAAATAATTCAACACCAATGGGTCACGACGGTCACAACCCTTTCCGCATCCGCTCCTTCTGCAAGGCCAGCATCGCCACAGACAACTGAGTCATCGGATGGGTATCCTCATCGAGGGGCTCAGCAACGCTTGCAATGGGAAAAACGGCTCGATTTTTTTCAAATGTACATGGCCGGGAAAAAGTTACAACGATGGTTGTTTGATTGATTGATTGATTGATTGCTTGATTGACTGATTGATTGATTGGTTAGTTGATTGATTGATTCATTCATTGATTGGTTGATTGATTGGTTGGTTGATTGATTGGTTGATTGGTTGGTTGATTGATTGGTTGATTGATTGGTTGATTGAACGACTATGGTTGGTTATGATTGGCTATGATTGATTGATTATTTGATTGGTTGATTGCTTGATTGATTGATTGATTATGATTGGCTATTGGTTGACAACGACTGATTGAATGACTGAGAGATGGAATAATTGATTGGTTGATTGGTTGATTGAGTGATCTGATTGAACTGGTTGGTTGGTTGGCTGGCTGGCTGGCTGGCTGGTTGGTTGGCTGGTTGGTTGACTATGATTGATTATGATTAATCATTATTGGCTATGGTTGACTATGATTGATTGATTGGTTGTTTAACTGATTGATTGGTTGATTGATTGGTTGTTTGGTTCATTGATTATGAATGATTAAGATTGATTTTGACTGATTATAACTGGTAGCAACTGATTGTGTTTGATTGATTGGTTGGTTGATTGATTGATTGATTGATTGGCTGATTGATTGATTGATTGGTTGATTGATTGGTTGATTGATTGGTTGATTGACTGATTGATTGATTGGTGAATATTAAATATGCTTGACTATGATTGATTATGATGGTTGGTTATGACTCATGATGATCGATGAGGATTGATTGTGAGTGATAATATTTAATTATGATTATTGGTACTTGATACATTATGCGCGATTATGAATGATGATTGGTTGTGATTGATTATGATTTATTAAGGTTGGTTCTGATTGACGACGATTGATTATCATTGATTGAAAGTTAATAATTTAATGGGTCCGTTGATTGATTATGATTGAGATATAAATAAACAAATATCATGTCATGTCATATGAGCCACGGTCGAAATTTATTGTTTACATCAAATGCGTCATCAAATTAGTGAGCCCCCTATCGTTTTACAGGGCTTCATGTTTTGACACATTTTTACATCTTAAATCTTAAACCATAGTTTTGAAGCGCGTCCACTTGGACCCTCATCCCTGGCGATCTTTGTTTGCATGCGTTGGAGCACATTTGTGCTTTTGCCCATGCCTGTCCCTCATGTGGTCCTCCTTCCCGCTGCTTGGGCGGTCTCTCAAATCAGCAGGTCTTTTGGAAAGAAAATAGGTTTTGACATGCTTTAACCACTCACAGCTGCTAACTTCAAAATTTATCCAGCCAGCGCACAAAAATGCAGCCCATCACTACGACATACTACCAACATCCACCACCTGTTCGGCCTGTCTTGTGACCGGGGCGGCGCTTTGGGAAAGATTTGAGTATTGTTTGGGTATCGTTTTGGGTATCAGATATCATTCTGCGCGGGCTCCATCTTTGCAAGTCACATGCGCACGAGACTTAATGAATAGCTTGCTGCGGTCTGCCAAAGCTAGGCCAGGCAGCAAAACGAGATACTGCATGGAGTTGGCCACTCCAGCATGCCTGCACTGCCTGCGAAAATCATGCATGGCTTCCGTAATCTGAGCTACTCGGTGCCGAGTTTAAGCAACCCACCTAAAAGTCATGTAATTACAGTCAACCCGCCGCATGGGCACACCCATTCATGATGAAGTGGATCCGACCGTGAAAAAACAACTCTGCCTAAGCAAACACTTTGCCCGCACCACAAAACGCGCAAGCATGCGCAAGCAAGAAACGTATTTTGTGAATCCCCTATCGTTTTAGCGGGTTTCATGCAACGGCCAACATCCGATGCACACTCCGGTACATAGTTAATGGCGGAATCTCATATCGCTTTGAAGGGTCATCCGCCATGAATCCTTCTGTGTATCATGTTCCAGCTGATTCTTCCGGTGGCCCCATGACTCGCTATAGACTTTGGTGGAACAAGCTGCCTCCATGTGTTGAGAAGTCATAAAATTGCCGTAAGACAGCCACCGGTGTCCCATCCTTTGCCACCACAATGCTACACATTCCTACCACGCCAAGCGATAACTTCCGATGTCGGAGACCAACCCTTGTGACACTGTCTTAGCTGGCTATAAATGAGCCGTCGAAGCCTCGTTCTCCATGCCCATACCCTTGTTTGCGGGGGTTGACCTCTTTCTACATCGCCGCACTTGTTTATAGTAACTGAATGCATTGAACGAAATGCCAGACCTCGTTCTCGAGATGTTCCTCGTTTTGCACCTTCAGCCTATATATGATGTTTTCGCCAAAGCGGACTACGACCCAAGACTACTCTTCACTTCATCCATTGCATCCTCTCCAGCCTGGTATTAAGACAAAAAAAACAAAACACTGCGAAAAGTTCGGCTCACCCAAGCTTTCTGGCCAGGCGCAAGGGGCAACGTGTCAATGGTCTGCATGACATTTGCAGGCACGGTGGAGCGTTTGTGCAACTCCTCCGTCAAACCTTTCACTTCCTCTGGGCTGGGCTCTTCACCAGTGACCTGGGACCGTGGCTGATGGCACTCAGCTTCAGATACATGGAGAAAACAGAGGAGAAATATGGGAAATGTGGGCAAATGTTGTAAAAAATCATGGAGGTGTTCATCATCATTTCACTGATATCGATTGAAGTGATTGACGGAGGAAGCCATGATTTTTCTCGCTAATTGATCAATTCTGGGGCCTGTGGTCATCCATGTGATGAAAGGATGGCACCTGCCAACTCATCGCTCGTGGGGAAAATATCATTGGAGGATATTGTGGGAAGCCCTCTGGTCATTTAACACAGCCAAAATCACCACCTTTAAGAGGTAACTGATATACAGTATGAAATATCTGTAAATGTCAATTTTCATCAATTTTCGACAGCTATTAGCTATCCATGTTAAATATGGCTGAATTAAGTACGTTGAATTACCGGAGCGATCCTGAGCGTACTGTATGGCACAAGATGGCGCAAGCCCATGATCAAAGTGACCTTTGACCAGGGATTTCAATAATCTGATGATCTGGCTAAAGATGACTGCATGCAGAGCTCTCACACTATGTCAACACATGTCAACAAGTAATCTAAGACAGACATGACCAAACATGACCAAACACAAAAGCACTTAAAGTTGTTGGGTGCACATTGCGTTAGGTTCACCAAAAGATCTGGAGGATCGGCCGACACTGCCTCATAACTGCCTCATAACTGCCCAGCGACTAACAACCAAAATGCACCTTCAGGCAGTGCCACATTTCCACCTGGAGAAAACCATTGGAGTCAACTTCGACATCCCAGACTCCCAGCATCCCGTCTTCAACACCAATCATGATCGGAGACGATGAACTGTACAGCATTCCATAGGTGCACTGTCGACAATTGTGGCTCAACATGCGATTCACCAAAACAGCGGAACATATAAATCCTTTCAAAAAATCTCATCATTTACCTCTTAACTTGTAATTGCAGTTCTTGTTTGAAGATGTTTAAAGTAAGGATGATTGAGATAATCAAGGCTACCTTTTTATACCTTGTCATTCTTCCCCGGTGGCCATCTCTGCCTGGTGCTTTGGGAAGATGATTGTTGACGTCGTAGAGCGAGAGATGCCGATACGCAATGCCCAGGTTGGCATCCAGGTCCGACGTCTCCTTAGCGCTGCATCGCCCTGGAGTTGACCCGTCATGGGATGTCATGGGGAGCTTTCTCAAATTGAGCAATTTTTAATTTTTAAAAGCACTCTACAGATGCAAAATCATGACATGTGTTTTTTCTTTCGAATATATATATATATATACATATGTAGATGGAATTGGGAAATCCATGCATGCCTTTGCAGTGTTCTTTGTCGAAACGTTGCAGTTATTTGCCCCAATGCCGGTCAGAATGAAAATGCCAGATGCAGATAGGGATGGCAGGCCGCGCACTTCTTTTGCAAAGGCAAGGGCACAAACCCACCAACGACGAATATGCCAACAGCCATAACCAAACCATAACCAAACCACATCAAACCATTAAATACTACGAGTACACACCACAATCATCACCGCACCACTGTAAAGAACACCCCACGCACCACACTACAAGTACCACCACGATCATTGCTGACCGGTGTCCACTTATCATCCTCAGCCTCCTCCTCATCCTCATCATCATCATCATCATCCTCCTCATCATCATCATCATCATCCTCATCCTCATCCTCATCCTCCTCCTCCTCCTCATCATCATCATCATCCTCATCATCATCATCATCACCATCCTCATCCTCACCATCATCCTCATCATCCTCATCAATATGCATTTATGTTGCAGTACTATATATTATTCATTGATTTAACATTACAACATGTGTTGCTGCAATTCTTGTGAGTCCAAGGGGAACAAGCTCAATTTGCGGTGCATGATAGTATCATCATGTATCATCCAAATCTATCCAAATCTAAACATAGTACGAGTACGATTCACATTTAGTGAAATGATTTATCCATATTTATCCAACATATAGCAACTAAAACACAACATATTACCATCTAGCTATAGTTAAAATAGTTAAACTTGGTCTATTTATACTATAAACCATTGATGATATAGCCATATAGCAGCCAATTTTTACTACAAAAGTGCCAAGTTTCCGTGACCATGGATTTCACCGCACGTGCTCCGTTGATGGCCATCTCCACGGTCACATCTTGAATCTTGCGTTCCTCGCGAGAGGCCATGGAAAAATGCTTTAGCCATCCGGAAATGATGATTAATATGTGTATACAAAATACCTGTATATATATATGTATATATATATGTATATGTATATATATATAAATACATATATACATATATACATATATACATATATACATATATACATATATACATACATATATATAAATACATATATACATATATACATATATACATATATACATATATACATATATACATATATACATATATACATATATAATATGTATTCATATAAATTCATGTAGCCAATCTATGTCAATATAGGAATCGCTTGGTAAATACCCCTTTCGAGGGGCCCGGGAAAGCTTAGATTTGATCCACTAAACCATGGTTTCTTCGGGGGAATGCACTGAATTTTCGGAGAATGGGATTGGATTAATCAATCTTGCAATACATACTGAGCATGTGGTGAACTAAGCAAGCTTAGATGTCATGGATTGGCATGCTCACAGGCCAACCTGAATCCATGTCTAGGGATCGTTTACCAATCCATAGAGGAGCTTGGCTTAGATAAAATGAATCCTGTTTTACGCTTTGTTGATATTTCACTTCTCCACTTAGTCTTTGAGCAACTCACATGCTAGTAGCTAACCCCACCTACATGTAGCATAATCCAGCTGCTCGTCCCAATTGCCAATGGCCAAGTCTCACCATGGTATTTCAGCATGAAACTCTTGAAGGCCGCCTTTTCGCCTGCGCGTCATGTCGCTGCAAGAAATTTCGGACACAAAAGTGTGGAGCAGGTTCAGTGTATGCATTCTGCACCCCGAGAACCATATGCAAACAACAATGTGAATAATATATATACATATATATATATATATATTATAATCACTAATAATAATATTAAGAAGAAGAAGAATAATATGTCAACTCAACGCCGCAAATTTTCGAAAATGAAAGAAGACGATCATGATCCTCAAATCTGCGGCTTCCAAGCTCCAAAAACTTACAAACATGACAAGCCCCCCCACCTGCAAGGGTGGCAATCTTGGTCTTCATCGCTTCCATCACTGGAATTGCAGCCGAGCATTGCTCCGGTGCAATCCCGCCGCAAACGACGTGGCCGGCAATACGCTTGACACGCTCCATGGTTTGGTGCCGTGGGAAGATGCCTTGCAGGCCTGGAACGAAGGTCTTGAGCCTTAAAGACTCAGCCGTCACCGTCACCAACTCAGCCGGTCGGGGGCTCTGATGGTAAGAACCACAGTACAGTATCCTGGGGCGGCAAGAAATTGAGCCCTTCAGTGAGCCCTATGTTGGCACGAAAAAGCCAAGCGTGAAGAACCTCTGTGCCGGTAGGTGGGTGGAACATATTAAAAAAGGGCTTGAGCATGGTGCAAGTGGTGGGCGGAATGCCAACCACCTGTTGATGCAACAGGGATCTTGTCGCAAATCCCTGTGGAGAAAACAACGTCTAGCCAAAAAAAAACAACACATGCACCGTGGGGGGTATCTGAGGTCGAGTAGGCATTTGTACATATTTTTACCTGACATCTACATGTATATACATTATTAGCATTCTGTGTTTTTTTTGTTTTATTATCTGCTTATCTATATTATATTATCATATTTTATATATATATTTCATATTATATATGTATATCATATACCCCTCAAAGCAAGAGTTCTACCCTCTACCCTTCCAAAGCTGTTGGCTGCATCTGTCCATGAGGTCAACAGCGTTGAGGCCCCAACGACGTGGATGTTGTTGAGGATCTTCCGCAACAACCTGCTTTCTGGTCTTGCTTTTGGCCTATGCAAAATACATGGTGATCAACAGGTTCTACGCATATATATATATATATGTGTGTGTGTGTGTTTTATAAGTGTGTATATATATACATAGTGGTTAGATATATACATACATGTATATATATATGTATATATTTATAGTGTATATACATATTTGATCATATTTGTATATATATATATGTGTGTGTGCGTGTGTGTGTGTGTTGGACATATCTAAATATCTAAACATTGAGATCAATGCAATCATGAGATCATTTAGATATTGTGATACCACAACAGTGGACTGTGTCTCAAATCTTGTGAAATGCCTAAATACGTCCACCATCTGCGCATTTAGAATATGCTAATTGTGCATGTGGAATACGTCTCCGAATTCCGTGGATTTATTTCGGTAATTTTCCCCACCAGGGACGCCCCTTTGATGCCTCACAAAATAGTTGTTGCCACCTTCCAATCGATCCTCTGACTGCTGCCTGGCAATTTTCGCCTGCTGGAGGCTATTCCTTCTTGTATCAAAGGCATTTTGGAACCAAAGTCCTAGTTTAAAGATGTGGTTCCAAGCTCTGCAATTACCCGGGAAGCACAACATCAAACAACAACTCCACGAACATGTCTGGTCTGATGCAGTGGCTTCAGCAACACTCCTCCAATCATATGGATGTCCCCCCTTTTTTGCGGCCCCCCCAAATGACCACATACAAGTATTTAACAGGGTTTCGTTGTGGCTGGAGATGGTTGGGGGGTAGCATTACGTGATAAACACCCAACTAGTGTGATTCTATCCAGTGTCTATCTGGGAATGCACACATGCGGCACACACACACACGTGTATATATATATATGTGTGTGTGTGTGTAAAAAATATTACATGTGTATAAGTGTGTAACGTATGTATCCGTATGTTCTTCACCCCATCCATTCATCCATCCACCCATCCATCCCTCCATCCGTCCATCTATCCATACGCTAATCATCTGCATTTTCTGATGGTCTGCATACGGTCCGCGTGAATAAAACAGTAGCGCCTTTTTTCATGCAGCGACTCCCACCATCCTGCTCTCTTGGTCTGCTCGGGCTGGCTGCTCAGGGCCGATCTCCTCTACCTAAATGGGATCAACCAAATCAACCAAATCAACCAAATCGACTAGAACCGATCAAATCAATCAAAACAATCAAGCAAGCACACAAGCAAGCACGCAAACAATATGTTGATAATTCATACAAATACGCATATAATATATATATATATTGGACTGTCCCCCCTTACACTAACAGTCACCACAATCCAGACCACAAAAAAAAACACAAGCACGATGGACCCAAAATGCCATTGAGAAGTTGGGTTGGCACATTTTGTCAGCCTACCAACCCACAAAGAAGTTGGGGTTTTCACAGCATGAACCCAATAGTTCATAAAGAAGTTGGGTTTGTATATACTTTGGCCGGAAAGGGCCAATGAGAGCTTAGGTCTGTATATTGAAAAATCCAGGGCAATCCAGCACAGACACTCAGATTATGCACCATCCTATCGAACCAAAGGAGGCCCACCAAATAAATGGGTTTATGCTTGGTAGGCTGCCCCCAGAGTGATTTTGTTGGATAAAATTTCTTCATGACTAATATGACTTATCACAGAAAAAAACAATCATATCTCATTACATATGACGCATGCGACGGAATCATGTGTGCTGCTACTCTGACACACCCTAGTCTTTACTTTGAAACGCTTTGCTTCTCAGTTTAAAAGTATCATTGGCCGAAGGTTTTTCATATCGAATCATATGAATCACATGAATCATTTCATTGACTTGGCTGCCTGGTGTTCAAGCTAACCTGGGGCTTCACACTAACAGGTGCCAGAGATGGCCACACTAACGGGTGCCAGAGCTGGCCACACTAACGGGTGCCAGAACTGGCCACACTAACGGGTGCCAGAGCTGGCCACACTAACGGGTGTCAAGCAGGATCCAGGCTCAGGCTGGGCTGGCAGGCCCTAGTCGACTGCAGGTTCAGGACAACCTGGGATTTGGGGGGGGCTGCGGTTGTAAATTTTTGGGCTGGGAAGTTGTGCTTTTTAAGCCTAAACGTTGTGTTTTTTTTTTGTGCGTTTTCTTGTGGTTAGTTGTGCTGTTTGTTGTGCTAATTTTTGTGGCCAAATCATCACGGAAGTTGTGCACTTTTTGTGCTCTTTTTGCATGGGAAGTTGTGCTTTTGATATTTTCTACCTTTTCCAAAAGCACGGCCGAGAGCACAAAAAAAACACGACAGCAAGCAAGGGTTTTCCCTTCGCAAAATTTGTCCCTTAGCAAAATTTGTCCCTTAGTAAAATTTGTCCCTTAGCAAAATTTTCCCCTTAGCAAAATTTGTCCCTTAGCAAAACTTGCCCCTTAGCAAAATTTTCCCTTTAGCAAAAAATTTCCCTTTAGCAAAAATTTTCCCTTAGCAAAATGTTCCCTTTAGCAAAATTTGCCCCTTAGCAAAATTTGTCCCTTAGCAAAATGTTCCCTTTTAGCAAAATTTGTCCCTTAGCATTTTTTTTCTTTTAGCAAAATTTGTCCCTTAGCAAAATTTGTCCCTTAGCAAATTTTGTCCCTTAGCAAAATTTTTCCCTTAGCAAAATTTTCCTTTTAGCACAATTTGTCCCTTAGCAATTTTTTTCTTTTAGCAAAATTTGTCCCTTAGCAAATTTTGTCCCTTAGCAAAATTTGTCCCTTAGCAAAATTGTGTCCCTTAGCAAAATTTTCCTTTTAGCAAAATTCGTCCCTTAGCAAAATTTGTCCCTTAGCATTTTTTTTTCTTTTAGCAAAATTTGTCCCTTAGCAAAATTTGTCCCTTAGCAATTTTTTTTCTTTTAGAAAAATTTGTCCCTTAGCAAAATTTGTCCCTTAGCAATTTTTTTTTAAGCAAAATTTGTCCCTTAGCAAATTTTGTCCCTTAGCAAACTCGTCCCTGCACTGCTGCCTTTCCCTTTGCCCAAAAGGGATTTTATCCAACAAAATCTCTGCAAGCTCCAACTGAATGGATTTGATCTGGTTCCAAGTAGGCTGCCCCCAGGGTGATTTCATACTTCGGCTCAACATCAGAAAAAATTGTATCGAGAAGATTGGGCCTCTCAAATTGTTTGTGGTTTTGGTCCCTGGGTTGTTGTGCAATTTTGGCTGGGAAGTTACAATTAAAATCCATTATTCCACTGTTAGTGGGCGGGGGGTCACTCCAATATATATATATATATATATATGTGTGTGTATGTATATGTATGGATTTCTCTATCTATCTGTCTATGTATCTATCTATCAATCAATCAACCAATCAATCAATCAATCAATCAGTCAATCAACCAATCAATCAATCAAATCTTATCTTATCTTATCTTATCTTATCCTATCTATCTATCTATCGATCGATCTATCTAAATATGTATATATATATCGACCTATATATCTATCTATCTATCTAATCTAATCTAATCTAATCTAATCTAATCTATCTATCTATCTATCTAATTGCATTCTCATGTGAATGCATACGTCTACATGGACTGTATTGTATTGTACAGGTCCGGAATTGTTTTGGGAATCATGTTATTGTTTTTCCGTTGTGTGATTTTTGAGGGGAACTGCTTTTCTGTCTGTTTTCCTTGCTATTTGCAGCATTTCGGAGCTGGAAGCTGCCATTTGAACTTTTCCATTGTGTTTGCAACATTTAGGTGCTCAAACTTTTCATGTTGCATGGCGACTAGGGTTGCTTTATATAAGGTTGGCTTATGGTTATTAGGTCTACTTCGGGTGGGTTTTAGGGTTGGTTTAGGTTCGAGAAGCGAAGAAGCAAAGAAGCAGGGAAAGGCAGAAAAACAGAAAAGCAAAAAGCAGAGAAGCAGAATAGTGGAGAAGCAGAGAAGCGAACAAGAAACGAAGCAGAGAAGCAGAAAAGTTGAGAAGCAGAGAAGCAAAGAAACATCAAAGCAGAGAAGCAGGGAAAAGCAAAAAAGCAAAAAGCAAAGACGCAGAAAAACAAAAAAGCAGGGAAACAGAGATTTAAAAAATGCCCAAAAGGGAACAAAAACGGTAAAACAATAGCACTCCATGTCATACTAGCTAGCCTCTTGTCATCACAATCTGAATGGGAGTTCTTGCTGACCAGCCGCAACCACTGCAGAAATCTTTGCGGAATCCTGTGGCAAAGGATTGACACATATATCCAAAAAGAAGCCATCAAACCCAGCAAAGACTGTATATCTTGGAGCATTCGCAATGACGACACATGGAATCTCAGATTCTCTGCACTGGTCGGTGGTTTCGACCCTTCACAAACATGTGAGTCAATTGGAATGCTATTATGCCCCACCCGCTGGCCGCTGACTGACAAATTCTGATTCATGATGCGTAAGCCATGAATCAAATGTGTTAGAAAACGGCACAACACCTTTGAGACCTAACACAGGAAAACCCACTCAATGTAGTGGACACAGCCCACAAAAACCAACAGCAACATCAACCACAAAGATTCTTCAATGGAACCCAAGGGAAAATTGAAGGAAACCATTGCGATTCAACCATGAAATCATCAAATATAGTCTAGGGGTAAGCATGGGTAAACTCTCCACATGTTCCCTTGATATCCCTTTATCGCATTAGCATTGCCACTGTGGCTTCCTACTGAGCGTCCTTCACATTGCCACCTTGCTCCTTTGGAGGAGGTGCCATACCTGATCAGCTGCTGCTGACGGCTTGGTGGTTGAGCCCCAAGATCCGGTTCCCTATTGGAACCCCGGCTATCCCGGGCATGCAATTTGGATTGGAAAAGTGACATTAATTACTTGAAACAAACCTTCTCCTGCCCACTCCTCACTTGCAGAAAACCAAGCCAAAGCTTGCTAAAAATTACATCTGTCAGTTCACTGCCCAAAACAAAACTTTATTTTTTACATAAGAGAAGTGTATATATCTAATCCCTTCCTCCTAATACTAAACGTCCCCCTAATACTAAAAACAGGCATCCATCTCCAATTTCCGAAAATTTCAGTTTGGCCAATTTGACTTTTAATTGATCCCCTTTAAAAAACAATTCGAAAATCAACCTACCATTTGTGGGTTCTCCCCCCTAATACTAAAAACTAATTCATCCCGGGGTGTTTAGTATTAGGGGGGCTAGTTTTTAGCATTAAGGGTTTTAATTTAGTATTAGGGGTAAGCTTCGAACTGCCATTTTTGGCAATATTTTAATTGCGTTATATAAGGAAATTTAATTGATTTT